CGAATATGTAATGTAATTAGATCTTTGTATCGACGTGCATGTATTTATTTAGAAAAAAAAGTTTTTGAATGCAAAACGTTTGTTTGGTAATTATATAGAAAATGTATGTTAATTGCAGATGCATGTGGATACAAAAATGGATCGCCGGAACAGATTTACCGATCACCGGAGATGGATTACTCCGACGTCTCCACAGGTTACCTTGAAGACGCACTTATCGAGTCCGGTGAGAGAAGCAAAAGGAGACGTCTCTTGTTCGAGGATTCTTCATTTTCTCTTAACGATAACTATTCGCAGGTTTGTGTAATTTTTATTTAATTCTTTTGCTGAATGATTAATTGGATTATCCTAATGATGTGCATATTTTCTTCATTTTATCATTTCCAAATGATCTGGTAATATATAAAATAATTAATGTGAAATTTGTTGATCGTTGAAAATGCAGAACGATTGGGGCCTGCATGAGAGTTATAGCGATTTGAATAGCCAGTTTGTCACTCCACATGTTAACAAAGGTGAGACCTACTTTTATAAATTAAAAAAATATAAATAGATATTATTACAATTCAAATGCCACCAACGTTAAAAAAGAATATATATAAATTTAAATATAATTGTCGTACGTATGTTAAAATTAAAAATAGCATTTCATTTTTAAATTTCTATATATTAATGTACAGATGAATGTAAGAGTGGAATAATAAGCAACTTTGAGGAGCCGATATCGACCATTTACGAGTCACCCGACACTTCTATATCTTCCGAAAAAATCTATGTCCGAGAAAAATCTCCGACCGAACCATCTTCGTCCAATTGTGGTAACAAGAACAAAGGACTAACTACGAGAGTGGTTTATCCATTTGGATTGGTGAAACCAGGTGGTCGAGAAGAAGATGTAACCCTAAATGACATAAACAAGAGGATTCTAATGCCACCGGCTCGGCCGGTTCGACATCCGGTAGGAGACTTTGCCTCTCGAGCATGCACCTCGACGCATGGACCAGGCCTATCTGGCAAATCCGTGGTGGCTCTTACTAAGATCCAAACACAAGGGAGGGGTACTATTACTATAATCAGAACTAAGGGGTGAATTATGTAATAATTAGTTGGGGATGTTACGTGTAAAATAATGGAGGTTTTAGAAAGCCAAAGTAATCATTGGCGATGAGAGAAACTTTCAACTTTTGTATAGAAAGTTAGGAGAGGTAAATTTTGAAAAAATGTTGTACAATATCGGGTGGATTTTTCTAGAGAAATTTCAAAAAATTGCTATTTTATAAGTGTTATTTTACAAAAAATACCACATTTTTAAAAATTTTACAAAAATACCATTTTTTAAAAAATATTTTTTCTTTATATTATTTATGTTTGGATTAATTATGTTCTATTAGGATTTAGTTATGAGGGTTTAGGGGGGTTTAGGGGTCAAAACATTTTTTAGTGTTTAAAATTTTAAAATATAGGATTTAAAAATCTATAATTAGTGGTATTTTTACAAATAAACACCCCTAAATGACATTTTTGTAAATGTGCACATAAAAATGATATTTTTGCAATTTTTCCATTTTTCTAATGAAAATAAATATTCTATCTTCTTTGAATTTCTTGGATTTTGTGATTTTGAGCTTTTTTACTCTTTCTCCTTTATACAATTGTTTTATATTGAGAGATTCACAGGCTAAATAGATAAAGTATGACAATAACAAACAAGCAAAAAATTGATAAAGTATGATGGGTAAACAAGAATAAAGAAAACAAAGAACCGATAAATAAAGCAAAAGGAAGATATGTAATTTTAAAAAATGTGAGGTAAAAAGTACAAAGAAAAAAAGAATAAAGAAACGAAATTATTTAAAATTGTTATGTTTGTTCTTGTCAACAAATTGTGATTTATTAGTTTGATACAATCCTTAAATATTTGTATAAATGAATGATCTTCTATTGAGGTTAGTAGTTATATTGACTATTGAATGTTGAATTAAAGAGTTCATTATTGAGTAAAGTGACGTCGTGCTTATGTTATGATACGTATGTCGGCATGAGTTACTAAGATATGTAAGAAAAGTGGTAAAGTGGTCATACTCAACTCAATTCTAAGGTATTAGTGCATGCATGTGGCTCATCGTGGATTTGGTTTAAAACTTGTTATATATTTCTATTTCATTACTAGCTAGTGTAACAATAATTAGATCTGTTTGAATTAACTCGCAGTTAGCTATACTACTATCTGTTTTTTTTCTATTATATAATCGAGGATTTTGAACCGAATGCTAAACTAATTCTACGAAATCTAAAGAGCTAAATATTTTAACTATTTAAAACGTTTAAAAACATGATTAAAATAGTAGAAAGAATACTGGAATTTTTGTTTGTTTTTGTTTTTTTCTCACATTATTAAATAACTTGACTAAGTAGGCAGTTATATATTGGAGAAAACAATATAACTTTTGACCTTAGTGGAGTCGTTGTCCAATTTTTTCTTTCTCACAACCAACTTATTAAAGAAAATTTGACTCCAGACAAAGAAATAAACCAATATAAGTATATAACAAGAAATTTGTTTTCAAATTGGCAACATAAGTTATTTATTCACCAAAGATGAAAATCGGCAATAAGATTGTTTCTATGGGATCTCCTAATAACTTTAGAATGATTTTCACAACGTTCATCAAATGGCTTTGTTGTTTTTTGCCTTTTATTCTTCTGCTTTTGTACAAGAAGTATGAATAAGACTAACATTTTTACATTTATTATTATTATGTTACAAAACATCACAATGCTTCATAGATCATCACTGAAAACGATTTTACTCGGAGAATCAATTCTTACAGCGAATCCTTCATCGTCATCATCGCTTGATTCTACCATCGTATTCCGCCTTGTGCTGCTTTCCGCTACTTGCAGAGGAAGTTCATGCGCAAATTTACGGGTTTCAAGCTGTTTCTTGGTTACAATAGAACTTTCTGATTTAGCTGAAATGAGACCTTGAGCTAAGTTTAATGGAACTTTCTTGTACTTGCCTTCAAAACTTGCACTTCTTCTATACAAATTAACCTAATTAAGAATATCCAAAGCTTCGGATTAGTCGAGAAAGTTTATAAATTGTTAAAAGAATCTCAGATTGTGATCTTGTTCTTACCATGCTTCCGAAAATGCTAAGTTGCATTGCTCGTTCAGATAAGCTTAATGTCTTTCTATTGATCTCTTCTTGTTGTTTGTCTCTATAAATACTCTCAGGCCAGCTCATGAGACCTCTGTGTTCTTTACTAAAAGTTCGCTGGAGCTGATCAGAGCTTGAGCCACGTGGTGGTGTTAGCGAAGATGGTCTTCGTTGCAGAGTCATATTGAAGATGTTGAAGATGATTGCTCTTGCTCTTGTCTCCACACTGTACAATGTTGCTTGGCGTGAGAAACTCACTCTCATGATACCTGCATGTGATCGAAAACCAAAACACAGTTTCATCGATTTTTTATCCGCAAACTGTTCTCGGTTTTTAGTGCAATTAAGTTAGTACCTGATGATGCTTCTGATGAATTATGGAAGCTTTGATTCCCGTTTGAAAGTAATAAAGCGGCTGGAGATGCGATAAGCTCTTCTTGGATACCAATTGGTTTTACGAATCCTTCTAATAACAAACCAATGCTACTATAATCGATTTCGATTGATTCTCCAGGTACGTATGTTGTCAGTTTTGAGCTTTCATCAGAAACAAGAGCTCGTAATTCTTGCATTGCCATTTTTTCAAATATTTGAGGACGCAAGAGTTTGAGAAGCACCAATGCACTTTCCTGCAAAAAGATGAAAGGAGTTTGATGCAATCAACAATCAAGAGAAGAGTCTCTTCTTCGATGGGATTCTAATAGAGGCGTACCATACCTTCCAGAGGAAATCTTCGATGGAAGCATCAGATCGTAGAATAGATTGTATTTTCTCGGTGTCGATGAAAAAGCAAAGAACCATAGAATCTGTAATCATGTCGCACATATATGGCTTTCCAGTGAGGACTTCGTAGAGTCCCAATGTACTACCATGAGAAAATGTTGGATGCAGCGAGTGATTGTTGCTTAAGCTTTTGCTTTTCCACTGTAGAATTATTATGACATTTCAGTGATGAAGGTAAAGGATCTTAAGAGTTATGAGTAAAAACTATGGTTTTAGGTTACCTTAATAATGCCATCACAAATAAGCCAGATTCCAGTTGGCTTTGAACCTTCTTTATAAAGCGTGACACCACGCAGCTTCATTGTTTCTTTTTCTGAGTGTTTTAAAGGTTCACATATTGCAGAAGAAAGAGCACCTGATAATGGATGTGAAGAGATCCTGTCGCTTAATTTTGGAAGTTTTACTATTGGCGGGTTTCTCAAAAGCTTCTTCAAGCCAATCTGCAGAGAGAGAGAGAGAAAGTGACCATAAACCATTATAGACAAAATACAGAGGACCATTGGTCGAGGGAATCGGATTCTTTAGTTTAGTACCTGAACAGCATCATGAAGATGACCGATTTCTTTTTCCTCTAACAAGCCAACTTTCTCAAGGTTTTGGATGTAATCAAGTAAATGATTCAGCACTGAATGCGTTACTTGTTTTGTTTTCACAACACGGAGAACCTAATAAACAAATTTGATCTAGGATTATATTGTGATTCATCGCGGAAAATATAAGTCGCTCAAAAGAAGTGACAAAAGTCTCAACCTGAGGAAATGAAGATCGGACTTTTTCCAAAAATTCTTTCGCTTCCAATCCTTCCACTTCACTTTCATTGATAACAGTGGAACCAATATTACTCTCCCCTGTATATAGAAGAAAGATAACTAAGAGACCAAAGTGGTTGGACGTAAGTGTTACTTAATTATGTTGAGGTACTTGCAACCAAAAGTCTGATAGATCAAAGAAAGTCCAATCATATATGGTACAAAACTAGTCATTGTTTTCAAAGTATGATGCAGAATCTGAATTATCCATACCTAGAAAATCATACAGTTGCTGCCGTGCAATTGTATGTGCGCGAAGAAATGCAGCGGAAATGTAGCAAGCAGATTCCAGTCTTTCAACAGCAAAGTATGTGACCAACTTGCGTGGGATAATTTTAGAGTGAAGAAACTTGTAGTAATTCGGGAAATTAACATGTGGTTTTAGACCTCTCCAATCACACAAAGATTCTGTAGAAACCCGATCCAACGCCTCATCCACTGACTGCATCAATAGATTAGCAGTAATTTCGGATATTCTGCCCTCATCGAGCATCTCCCAGTAAGCTGCCTGGACACCTGATGCATCCAATTTTCAAAGGGTCAATGATCTACCAAACAAGATAGTATATTAGAAGGTAGAAAGAGACGTGATCATAACTACCATTTAAGAACCGTATACGTATGTCCTTTAAACTCGTAGGGTCAAGATTTCCAGTTTTAGAACCATTGTGAGGATGAACTAGTTCCCCTTCTAAATCTTTTAAGCTTGAAATATATTTCTCAACTGTAGGCCAGTCTGCAGGTCCTAGCTCCTCATCGTCTCCTAGATCTTGAAACGCTTTCAAAGCCTTGTTCAGCATTTCATACTTTGTATATTCCAATATACGTTTCTGTCAACAAGAAAAGTGGATAATTTCGAATAAGTTTCTTCACTTACACTAAAATCAGTGATAACTAAAAATCATGTTCTGCCATTCCCCAAATTACAATCTAATATATTTGATTACTAAAGTCGAAAAATTATAAATGTGTAAGAAGATTTTAACCTTGGTGGCTGGTAAATCGTCCATACGAAGAAGGCGTAGAACAAATTGTGTAGTGGATCCATTAACTATTAGAGTTAGGAACACAATTCCACCCGTGAAGAAAAGAAACTGAAAAACAACTGAGAATATTAAGAGAACAAACCGATACTTTCCATAACCATTTAGGCTGTCAATAACATCTTTGGACTAACTTACCAATGTTCCAGTCTCCTTGCTGATATATGAATTTCCGCTTGATTGCTGAATCAAATGAGTGTGAGTAAGGTAAGTCAGTACTGAATCAATGTTGCTGAAAAAGATATACATTTAAGAGGGAAGAACAAGTTTGACAATCTTCTTGAAAATTAACCTTCACAGATAAAGAAAGTGAGAGCGCCACTGCACCCCTCAAACCAGACCATACAAGTATAATGGCTTCTTTCCAATCCAAGCCATAGCCACAACGACGTAACAGTGGATATAGAACTCCAACAACAACAACACGTGATAGTTGGATGTAAAAGTATAGGAGAAACAGAAATCCCCATGAATTCCCTGTAAAAAAATTGGGTCATGGAGAGTTTTTGGATCCACAATATACAAGAAAGCTAAAGTCAAGGATATATCCAGAGAAAAAGATATATCCAGAGAAGTATATCTCTAACAACTACTTAATAATAAATTTACCGGTAAAATAACACACTATCCCAGTCCTAGCACAGTGGGAATGTTTGCTTCATCGTTTCCTCAAACCGTTGATGCTTTTTTTTTAATTTTTTGAAAACTAATTCATGCTAAGTGACCCTTTGAGAACCACGACCATGAACACAGAGGTCTGTTCACAGTGATAGCAAACTATGAAACAGGTGATAGCAAAGTAAGAAAAAAATGCCATGATTTGGTCTCAGCTTCAATAAACAGTTGGTTGTAGATATAATCTGAAAAGAATTTACTTTAGCTAGATAGATATACTGCAATCTTTCAATAGTTAATGTCACCTTGGTAGGCAATCTTATCGCTGTCGAGAATGCCCTCAGCAATGACAACACCACTGCAAAAATGAAATGAGAAATATAGTGTAGCACCAGGCTAAAGAGTAGACTGCACAAAAATAGCTTTTCCACTCATGAGCTTCTTTGTCAAGGTTTGCATGGCCCAAGCATGCTATGAGTCTATAAAATTATAGCCTTACCTGAGGATAAAAATCAAAGTATTTGCAATATATGCGACCATTTCCCTGCAAAAGTGACCAGAAAAAAATTGATATTACACAGATCAACCTTTTTCATAGAGTTACGATATAGAAAACAAGTCTAATTCCACATGTTTTTGGACATACCAGAAGTGGTGCAAACTTTTTTGGCTGTCACCTTTAAATGCTGTCCTTGCAAGTGCAGCATAAAACCTGTTAAGGTCATATGAAAAGTGACTTCTTACACGAATACAAAAGGAAAAAAATGAGATCACTGAAAATTACATGCCCAAAGTCATCACTGTCAAAACTCCAGAAGCCTCGGCCCACTCTTGAGCCTGTCACACAGTAGCTAACTCTCAGTTTTGCTACAAAGATAAGATTTTGGCACAGTAATTCAAGGTTCACAGAAAGACGTACGGTGTAATATGCAAAATAGCTCACTGCAATTGTAAGAGTAATCTCTATTACTGTGTCATTAAATATGAACTTGAGCCAAAGAACTGATGCAATTCCAAAAGCCAGACCGATGCCTACACTAAACATACAGAATCATTCGCAAAAGAACACAGTGACTCGATATCATTAAAAGAGGAAAAGATCAAGACATACGCTCCAAGTGCTACTCTAACCAGAAATGTGATTATGGAACTCCAGTCAGATTTATGCCCCGTGACCATCTTTAAGAATAGCTGGAAAACCACAATCGCCGTCCTGGAATTTTGTTTAACATCATCAAGTCTGAGCATAAATGTCATATACTATTATATTAACAAAGGTTGACATGATTACCCATCATTCATCAGGGATTCCCCTTCGATTATGGTACTTAGCTTCTTACTAGCACCAAGCTCCTTTAGCAAAGCAACAACGGCAACAGGGTCGGTAGCACTTAAAAGTCCCCCAAGCAACAACGAAGTTTTCCAGTCCCAGTCATACGGAAATGTGACCTGCAATGAGCATGACACTATAATTTCTCTTTCTTTCTTTATTTCTGTGACGGCTACTTAATACCGAGCTATCGCATACCTTAACAAGGTATCCGAGACAAAATGTCGAAATGAGAACTCCAGGCCCAGCAAGTAGCACCATTTGTCCCAAACATCTCTAATTGATCATTCACATACATAATTCCATACATAACTAAGAGTTAGAGCCAGAGAGGAGCTCAATTACAAGAAACTCTTGGAAAGCATAAACAAACCTTGATCTGGTGTACTTCCATGGCAAACGAACTCTCGAAAAGAAGAGCAGGAAGAAAAACAGCCAAAAGAAGCTCAGGGTCAATACCATTCCCTGTACAGTAACATTGAGATCGTTTAGAGCCAAAGAAAGCTCAACATGGAAGTGAAAACAAACGAAAATAAGAGCTTACAGATTCGAATTCCATTGCCGATTTTCCCAAGGCTATGATTGGTTCCATATTCTGAAACATTTCAAAAATTGTAGCTCATCACTCATCAGTAATCAATGGAAGTTTCCTTTTCTTCCAAAGGAAATTCAAAATATAACTGTTGAAATTGAGATCAAACAAGTATCGATGAAGAAATCACTCGACGAAACGGAGTTTTCAAATTTCATGAAGATTTAATTAGAAAGAAACTGGGTATAACGAAATCGAACCGAGAGATCCAAGAGCAATTCCGATGACGAGGAGAGCGACGGTGTACGGAACCCTAGTTCCACGAAGCAAATGCCTAGAAGCGATTCCGAGCACCAGAGACATTCCGACGAAGAGAACGGCGTCTACAGGGCTAGATTCTCCTTTCGAAGAAGAAGAAGACGAATCGTTCTCCTCCTTCACGAGTCTATACGGAATAGTCGCGTCGATTACATTCGCCATTTCTTCGACTATT